AGTGCTTTAATGCTGTACAATGAAGATATAGTAGACGAAGAAGAGGTTTTAATAATGTTTAGCGAGCTTACGCGAAAAAATCCAGTGTATCCTTACTGGAAGTACGATCACATTGAACAACAACTCGATGACATTTCACAAGCAGAGTTCAAAACTGAGTTTCGCTTTGGTATGACAGAAATTGAGCTTCTACAAGATGCTCTAAYGATTCCCGATAAGTTTACTTGTGTAAACGGCACTGTGGCATCTGGTCTAGAGGGTTTGTTGTTGTTTTTAAAGAGGTTTGCCTACCCATGTCGTCTTAGTGACCTGATACAACGATTTGGACGATCAATTCCCGAAATGAGCCTCATTTTAGCTGAAGTAACGGACCACATCGTTGGAAACTTCGGTCATTTGCTGAGTAATCTTAACCAGCCATGGATTCAGCCAGGAAACCTTGAAAAATATGCACAAACGATTCATGGAAAAGGTGCTGCGCTGGATAACTGCTGGGGCTTTATTGATGGTACTGTTCGCCCAATCTGTCGTCCTGGTGAAAACCAGAGAGTAATGTACAATGGACATAAACGAGTACACGCTATCAAGTTTCAATCACTTGTCACTCCTGATGGGATGATTGCTAATCTTTTTGGACCAGTTGGTAAGTTACCTTATAAGAGTAAAAAGTACTACTACTACTACTACACAGTATTTAGTAGAATTGGTATATTTTGAGGCATTTAAAATAATTAATTCGACTTAGCCTGATTATAAAGTATCTGTTTCTTGTCATTCATGTTGTCATGGTTTGACAACCACATATATGTTTCCTGGCAGCCGTGTCAGATTACATATTATTCACTCTCTCGTGGTGTGTGTACACATGGTTTGATACTCTGAGTTAAGAAGTTTATAGTTTTAGTCATTTTTATTATTATCATTATTATTTTTATTATTAGTATTTAGTAGAATTACATATAATCGTTGATATTTTCATGGAATCAGTGGCATAAAGTTGCATTATATTGAATAAATATTAATCATAACTTAAAACTTTAAGTTGAATCTGAATAAATACTAAGTACTTAATTTACCAATTTATAGAAGGAAGGAAGCATGACTCATCAATGCTAAGGATGTCTGGTCTCCTTGATCAGTTGCCGATTTACTCTCGAAGTACTACAGGTATGTTATAATATTTTCACACACTTATATATGTTAAATATACACCCTTTTGCAAAAATTATGAGAATTGTTGAAATATCTAAATATCATAATATCAAGTACATGATGGGTAATCCCTCACGATGCCCTTTGTTCCGTGTCTTTGTAGTTTAGGGTTTTTTTTGTCGACGGACTTATCAGAAGTTCTGAACATTTTATATCACCAATGAATTATTCTTGCAAACCTGCGTGTTCCAGACAATATATTGATATGGATATTATGATATTTAGATAATTAGACAATTCTCATAATTTTTGTAAAAGGCTGTATAATGTTCTATATGTTAAATATGATGGAATGATGTAATTATTAAAGATCGTATTGCATTGTATTTCAGGTGCACCACTTTGTATATATGGTGATCCTGCATATCCCTTAAGGATAAATCTGATGGCTCCATACAGGACAGCAAATATAACCCCTAATCAACAGGCCTTTAATGCTTCAATGAGTTCAGTTCGTGTGGGAGTAGAATGGGTATTTGGGGATATAACTAATTTTTTCACTTTTCTTGATTTTAAAAGAAACCTTAAGATAGGTCTAAGTCCAGTTGGCACAATGTACACTGCATGTGCACTTTTAAGAAATGCCTATACTTGTCTATATGGTTCAAACACTGGTACATTTTTTGATCTAACTGCTCCAACAATCCAGGAATATTTTCAATTTTAAATGTAAATTAAGCAGAGATGTATTCAGTATTTGTGAATTACCTAAACAAAATATTTGTGCAGATTCATTGGTACAAATAGCAAAATTCATAWTATRTTTGAATAATGCCATTCACATAGTTTTTTACAAGTAACTCATGCTCTCTATGTGGTAAAAAAATTAAACCCATGCACTTAARGCAATCAGTGCAGTTAAGAACCCTATAATATATTTAAAAGCACTTATCAAATTTAGACCTCTTGTTATTAGAAAGGTTTCAACTCAGACTTTATTTAGGAAATTTCAGCCAACCATATAATAGTTTTAACTATTRAAATAATTGACTTTGATGTCAGTGAGCCAGAAAAGACAGGCTTAAATTATGTGTTGCTTTTTTAAAATACCAAATGTAAGTACATTTTATAAGTAATCAATTTTTCAAAGCTGCTTTCAAAAGCATATAAAAAATGTTAAAAATATTTGCTACTCCTACTTAATTCTTTTTAAGYAATTMAGCAAGTGTTTGTACCATACTMAAATGCATTGCTTGCTGCTGCTGCTGAAACTGCTGTTGTTGCAGTTGTTGATGCTGCAGCTGCTGCTGCACTTGCTGATGCTGTTGCAGCATCATGGCTTGGAATTGCTGCTGAACATCCAACTCCCTCTCTCTCAACACTTGCTGTGCTTCATTCTCCTTCTTTTTTCTTGTGATACACTGCTCTAAGAGGTCAGACATACTTGCAGTACTTCTCCTCTTTTTTGGTGTTGGACCACTCTCCTCCTCGTCATCATCATCATTATCATTATCATCATCATCATTGCTCATTTGTTTTCGCTTCTCTGTTTCCCCCAATCTCTCTGCAGCTCTTCTTCTCATTTCCTCTGCCTGCTCTTTCTCCTTCTTCTCTTTCTCACCTCTCTCTTCTTCATAATCTGTTATCAGTTCATGAATGTCTGTTAGGGCCTGGTGAATCTCATCATACTCGACTTCTGTACCACTATCTTTGTTCTCTTGGCTTTTGCGCCTTTTAAAATCTTTATATAGCTTGTCAAATCTTTCTCTACATGACCTTTTCGTCACCCTCATCTCCGGATTCCCTTTGAGTTTTTCTGCAATTCTGTCCCATGCAAGCCCTCTTTCTTTTGAACCAGGCTTGTGCTTATGAGGCACTTCAATTGCAACCTCTCTCAGAAGCACAGTATCATGTACGTTTTTCCAAATAAAAAGGCGTTGAGACATATCTGCAAAGAAATAATCAGATAAAACTCTCATAAATCCCTGAGCGTTTTATTTAATTCAATTGTTTTGGTTTTATAGTTTTGTTTCTCAAAAGTATTTTTTCAGTCGTAAACAAAGATTTTTGAGTGAAAATATTTTAACTACGGTCCATGAAGTTTATAGTGTTCATTTAAAAACTATTATCTTGAATCCTGCAGTATTTAAAATTGTTTTCGTAATAAAGTAACGCTCTATAAACTTTAAGAAACTGCAGTTTGTACTTGTGAGAAGGGTGTTTAAAAAAGTACTCCGCAAAAAAGTAATACGCTGTGTATGAGCATTTTGTTTGTACACAATGTTCACAGTAAATTAAGGTTCCTCTAGTTTACTTTTGAAAGGAATTGATTATATTTAAAATGAAAAACCTCACCTTTTAAAACTCGTTCTCTAGGGGACGACTTTCTTTCCAAATCTCGTCGTCGACGCGCGGCCGACAACGAGTTTCCCGCCATCGTGACAGTGTCACGCTTGCCTACGCATGCGCACTATGAGCGCGCGGCCAAAACTCGTACTCGTTCTCGTTCTCGTTCTCGTATCTAAAGGTCTCTAATAAATCACCTCTATAATAATAAATCTATAATAGAGTTCATGTACAGAAGGTGTGAACAGTAATRAATATTAATAAATACCCATTAACCCAGGAAGTTTCTATTGTTTTWGTCTAATGACTGGTAAAGGTTTTCCTACAGTATTACATGTACATGTGACTTTTCTCTTTCAGCCTCGCCCAACAAAGACRCACTTCTTTCATATCTTGATGAGGTAAGCCTTCTAGATTTACATCCTTATGCAATGTTCATAGCCTGTATAGTATATTTGTAAGGTCTTTTCATTATTTTCCCCCCAGCCAATGGAGACAGAGTCTACGGGTGTGCCATTTAGACCACGCAGTGCTAAAGCTGCAAGTATTCCACTCATCCCTGAGATTGAGACATACCTTCACCTTTTGATTGTCATTCACTTGATTGATACAAAGTGTTATAAGAAGGTAACCAAAACTGACATCTTTGTAATAAAAAATAGTACAATAATATCATGACTTTGAGGAGGGAGTGAGCACCAACCTCTAATCCAACTATTTATCCACACTTTGTTAAATAAATATACTATGTGAGTTTGCATTTATTGACATGGTTGATGATTATATTACAGCATATAAACAGATAACAAATTGATTTTATTTTCTATTTTTTCCTTAGGCTGTGAAGTGCTCAGAAGATCTGTTGAAAAAGACCCAAGGGATCAATAGAAGATCTCTTGATCCTCTGTTAGCCAAATGCTACTTCTTTCATTCCAGAGCCTATGAATTGACAGATAATTTAAAAGATGTGAGAAGGTAAGATTAACACCTAAATTGTGTAACCTTTGCATCACTTTTGCCACTGAAAATGTATGGAAACAAGAGGGAGAGAGAGGGGAGGGGGGGAGGGGGGGAGTGGGGTTAGGATGTTGCAGTGCACGTCATCATTGTTATCTTTATTCATGCCAGAAGGCATACAATGCCTCTCATTGTCTCTGGGATGTTTTTTAGAAGTTGTAAACCTTGACATTAGTATATGAATTGACATAGTTTAATATTCATGACGTGGTTTGAAGATCAATACATGTAGTTCTACACTAAATGATCCTTAGAAATGTTATTTGTCGAGAAGAGATCAGGCATCAAATCTACTTTTCTCATCAAAAGCTCTTTATTTCTAGTTTCTTYCACAGTAGACACAGAACCGCTACACTAAGACATGATGATGAAGGCCAAGTATGCATCATAAGTATTCTTTATAACTTATAATATTTGTATCAGTTTCAAAGAGGCTATCCACAATTTACTGAATCCTTCACAAAGACAGACATGCAGAGTTTGTTGTCTTGTATTGATAAAGAAACATTCTAACTCCATCATGAATTTTTTCCAGGCAAGTCTTCTCAATTTGCTACTAAGAAACTATCTACATTATAACCTCTATGATCAGGTATGGTGTTTTTGACAATGTTACTATCACTCTCTGTTTTCAAATGAAAGAATTGTTTGGTTATTGTAAACTTGATTCTTTCTGCTTTCCAGGCTGATAAGCTTGTTTCCAAATCCACATTYCCATCATTGGCTTCMACCAATGCTTGGGCTAGATACCTTTACTACACAGGTAAGAGTTTGTATCATACGTATGTATATTATTATTGATATTAAAATGATTGCATATAATTTAGTAGTAGTTTATCACCAGCAAAGTGCTTCACAGTAACATTGTATAGTGCACATGTACATATAAGTATGTTACTGAAGATGACTTGTATATTATTAAGTGTACATGTACAGTAGCATTTCATTTATTTTTCCTTTGTGACATTATTTTTCTAGGTTTTGAGACAATTATGTCTACGTTTATCTTTCTCTTGATGATAAGATTGTTTATTTTACTTGTAGGTATTATCAAAGCTATTCAGCTTGACTATTCAGARGCTCACAAGAATCTACTACAAGCCATAAGAAAGGCTCCTCAGAACAGTGCTTATGGCTTCAAACAGACGGTATGTTTATGTTGCTTATATTGTTTCTTGAATTTAATTTTACTTATTTAAAAGCCAAGGTTTTCTTGTGCCTACTGTATGTGCGCATTCTAAAATATGATTGATGTTTTCTTATATAGGCCCACAAGTTTGCAATAGTAGTGGAACTCTTACTTGGTGAAATTCCAGACAGGTCCATTTTCAGRCAACCGTATTTAAGGAAGACACTTGTGCCATATTTTCAGTTGACCAAAGGTAAAAACAAATGCATGTAACTAATGATAATGATTACATTGGTTTGTGTATTGTGGCATTTTTTCTTGTATTCTTTGTATTCATGCATGGCACTTTTTATGTACTCCTTTAAATAATTTTAGGTCAATTTTGGGATATCACTACATATAATTTGGTAATACCAACACAATGACTGTTTTACTTATACGTTTGATAAACAAAAGTGACTAGYAGTATTAAGTTTGGTCAAAAGACCACGGCTTTGTGGCAATACTCCAGTTTCGAATTCAAAGCGAATAACTGCTGTTTTACTTGACAGCAGATTCTATTACGCAAAGAACTTACCAAAGACAAAAGAAAGCACGAGAAAATGTTGTTAATACAAAATAGAGCGCTAAGAATCTACATTTTCCCCAAGTTGAGGCTAACCCTGCTCATACCTTAGGTCTTATGGGAATACAGGGATAATCTCAACTCGGGGAAAATGCAAATTTTCAAGTCTATTGTTATAACGACATTTTCTCGTGCTCTCTTTTGTGTTTGTAAGGTCTTTGCGCAAGAGAATCTGTTGTCAAATAAAGCAGCGGTTATTTGCTATGAATTSGAAACTGGAGTATTCTCTATCAGTTTGTTTATGTTTGAAATTAAAAGTGCTTTGTAATATAAACAAGAAACTTTCTCTGGAAAGTTTATAATAATTTATGATAATTATTTGGAAGTTTATAAATGTTTCAATCATTGTGCTATTCAGTATTTAAATTGAGATCATTTCACACCTTTCCACCTCCTCAATGTCAGTGTTTCAATAAGCTGAAGCTAATGTTTGAGTACATTGGGTTGAGGAGRAAATTGATGACAAAGTTAACTAACACTAAGACCTTTACTTGCATYAAAGGTTTGTCGCTAGTTTTCTTTGGACATTCAGAATATACTGTACATGTATTTGCAACCATGGGAACCAAGGGATGATCTTCTGTCCCTTRTTCCTCRGCATAGTGTCTGTTAACCCTTGTTCTTGATTCAAAATTTAAAATTTGCAAATCCATAAATTTATGTGCTTGTTTTGATTGGTTGTTAGATTGATTTGAAGCATCTGATTGGTTGATTAGTTTTTTGGTAGCCATTTTGAATTTTGAATGGAGAGCAAACTCTAACATTCTTTGTCTAAGAGTATCTTCTCTGAGATACATGTACCGCAAAGCTTCCTKCAGGGATGTCTAAACAGTTTAGTAKAATATCCTGCAAGGTGCATTTATGTGACAGTTTCTAATCCTGCCTAAATTATCTATTGAATTATAAGCTGTCTTAACTGGAGATCTGAAGCACTTCAACCAAGTTGTTGAAAAATTCAAAGACAAGTTTATGGCAGAGAAAACGTACACCTTAATCATCAGGTATAAGGAAATGAAATTCATTCTCTTGTTAACTTATTCRTGGTTAACAAAATTATTAACAGGATGATGACTAAAAAATTCACTTGATCTTATCATAGTGTATACTGCTGAGAAAAGCTGATATCTGACTGTTAATGTTTATGATAATCATTATGCAAGGTTGTATACCTACAATCATGTAAATSTTTAAGCAATGCTCATGTAATTAAGAGTATCTGAGCAGCAAATCTATTATCACTCTCTGCTTTAATGACTTTTTGCTATTACTTTTATGATGTGACCTTGTTTAATGATTGTCATGAGGATAACATGGTTTTGAGAGTTCATCAAAAACATCATAAGGCTTTTGACTTACTGTAAAGCTTGTCAAAGGCATAGGATTTTGCAAAATTTACGTCCCTTGGGTCCACTCCTCCTTCATTACTGTAATTGTAATTGTAACTCACCTTTGTGCATCATCATCATCATCTGGCACCCCAAAGGCTGGCGCAAATGGTCTTGCTGCTTGTCTCATAACTTAAATTGTACCTTCCAAAAGCCATGTTATCGTTGTAGTAATCCAATACCAATGATTGACATGGAATTGTTAACTCTAAATTGATAATATGCATTTATTCCTTTGATTGAAAGGTTACGTCACAATGTTATCAAGGCAGGGGTTAGAATGATCAACCTGTCTTACTCAAGAATCTCTCTGGTGGACATTGCCCACAAACTTCAGTTGGACAGCCCAGAAGATGCAGAATTCATTGTTGCCAAGGTAAACTACTGGTGGACTCAAATGATTGTACACAAATTACATATTGTGTACAAAATAAACCAACAACAAATAAGAGTACAAAATAATTATAAACATGAATTATAACCTCCAAAAATTGGTAAATAAGCAGGTTTTTTTTCCTTATTTAGGCAATTAGAGATGGAGTCATAGAAGCCACTATCAATCATGAGAAAGGAACCGTACAGTCAAAGGTAAACAACTAGTAAATCAAATTTGTTCACAGTGCAGAGCATTGATTTGTTTCCTGTCAATCAAAGAAATTTGCACCAATGTAATAAACCCTTTTGTGATATCATTGAGTAGATTTTCTATGACACTACTTGTATACTGCTACTGCTATACTGTATCTGTACCATCTATGGTCCATTGACCATGTTTTTATTGTCTGTGACATGATCCATTACATTGCATAATCTGCTCTTAATCTAAAAGTAGTTGTAAATGACAGCAGCATGATGACTAAAAAATTCACTTGATCTTATCATAGTGTATACTGCTGAGACAAGCTGATATCTGACTGTTGTTAAGAGGACATTTACAACTACACACAAAACTTTAGAATTGATGTTAAAATATATCTAACTTGAACTCCTCAGGAAAATACTGATATTTACTCGACCAGTGAGCCACAAGGAGCATTCCATCAAAGAATTAGTTTTTGTTTAGACATTTAYAACCAGTCCGTCAAGGCCATGAGATTTCCACCAAAATCCTACAGCAAAAACTTGGAGTCCTTCGAGGTGAGTCATAAGGAAAATGAGTGTTGCATTGCATTAAACTATTAGTAATGACTTTGAGGGGTGGTTAATGTATAGTTTAAAACACGAGAGAGAGTGTTTTATCAGGTATAAAGATTCGAGCCGAAGGCGAGAATCTTTATACCTGATAAAACACGATCTCGAGTGTTTTAAACGGCTTAAAAAACTCCAACACTAATTTGAAACTCAAATCCGTTAAAATTCTTGGAGAAATTGCCGTACAAATATGTTCAGAGATAAATGGGGCAAACTGATCATGCGCGAATCACTTTACAAAGCACTCTTGTCATCCCACATTGAATACGCATAAAATGAAATAGAACCGCTCTTGGCTGTTCACTGAAATCGGTTGACATCCTGCATTGGTCAGTGATCAGGTTTCAAACCTGAGACCTTTGCTAGGGTCATGGACCTTTATATCTGATAAAGGTCACATTTATTTAATAAGGAGTGTTTTATCAGATATAAAGGTCCATGCATGTGACCAAATAGGCTCATTCTATTGGCCTAGTAGCTCATTAATTATGTATGAGTTTTTTAATGTAGCTGAAAAGCTACCTCTTGCGATTGAAAACTTAAGAAATATCAAAACTATCTATGACAGTCAAGCAAAGACCATTGAGCACCTTACTTTGAAAGGAGGAAATGAAAAAGATTCATTTCATTCTCAACCTGAATCTCATTTAGTCTTTAAAGAAGATGGCCACATTTAAATTACATTTATTAATAGAATAATTATTCATATCATTTTTTTAGGAGCAAAGAGAAAGAGAAAAGCAAGACATGGAGCTTGCTAAAGAAATGGCCGAAGATGATGATGATTTCCCTTGAGTTATTGTACTTTAATTTTAGAAATCCTTTGAAGCGGGAACAATAAAAAAGCTAAAGACTTCATTAAATAAATCATGCTTGAGTTTATTTGATACAACAGCACCATTAACACAGTTATTTTCAGACTCCTCGTCACCATTTCCAGTGTCATCTCATTACACACATACACAATATATACAGGTTTCATTAATTAAAATTTGGGCTTTTAATGTGCTGAACTTTATTTTTGGTTTCAAGAATAGTATTTACATGGTAACTGAAATGGTCAAACATGACATACTGATATCATTTTCTGCATTAAAATTGTTTTTCAGTGAAGGGTGCAAAATCAGAATAATCAATAAATTGCAATTGGTTAATAGAAGACAATAGTCTGGTCCACAGAGTTTAAGTTGTTCACTGCAAATGATTCCTTGCTTTTTTCCAACAGATGGGAAACCTAGAGTGGTTTTCATTAACCCGTGAAACACACTTTAGCGTATTTATCACTATTACACTTTGGCTCTTTTGTTTTTTATTGTCTCTACACGACTATTACAATCTATTACACTCTAATTATTACACTTTGTTTCATGGGTTTATGGAAACCACTCTACCTTAACCAATAAGCCTGTTTTAGTCTTGGTATTTATAAAATCCATCCAAAGCATGTCAGTTATTCTGTGGTTTTACTAGCAGGATTCCTGTGGTAATTCATAGTTTTGTAAACTGCTATGTGAGCCAAAAATGAATCATCTTGACCTGCAACAGATGGAATACAGATAATGGCTACAATTCAATTCACAACACTGCAGTTTTCTTTCAACTGAGTTACCTCAATACTATAATAAAGGAGCATATAACTGAGGTGTTCTGTTGTCTTCAGACTTGTAACAAGGGAACCCAAGATTAAGTGTAAATGGGCAACAGAAAATTAATAACAAGAGGACCATCTATGAAACTGAGCATGGAGGTTGTCATCAATATTGTATTATATGCATAGGCTTGTAGATCGCACTTAAACTGTGCAACTGTGCAAAATCTAAGTAGTACTAATTTGTACTAAAAGTGGACCTGAAGCAAGACAGTATTGCATGCTTCATTTGTATCAATTCAAGTTAGTTTACATACCGCATGCAAGATGTACTAAATACAACTAAATAGCACTATTTAGTTTGTACAGTTGAACGGTGTAAGTGCAATTGAAATATTTCATATTTTCTTTTTCAAAATATTTCATTGATTTGGTGCATCAATTTCTGACAATTTCTGGTAGTGACATTGTGTACTAGTCTCCTGCAGCCGTGTTTAGTTTCGGTTGCGTGACGCGTGACCGAAACTAAACACGGCTGCGAGGAGACTAATTGTGTACGGGTTAACAAAGAAGGAAGCATAAAATATAAACTGCACTCAAAACAAAGATGTATACATTACTTTATTGTACCGGGAAACAAAAGATTCCTGTACAGAGGAAGCATAAAATATAAACTGCACTCAAAACAAAGATGTATACATTACTTTATTGTACCGGGAAACAAAAGATTCCTGTACAGAGCCCTGTTACTGCTTTTTAAGAATATTTTTATATTTTGAATAAAAAATGAAAAATTATTTAGATTTTATATTATGAGATACCTGAAGCAGTAACTGAGAGTTCAACCCATTCTGATAACCATTCTTTCAGTGCTCCACTGCCTAGATTGGATACATCCAGACCTCGTCGATGACACAACTAAATAAATCATGAGAAAAAACAATATATCAATGAATACATATCACTTTTCCTGTTCATGGTTACAATGTATGACAAAAACTTACTCTTTGTAGCTGTTGTTCGTCTAGATTATCCAGACCTTCTCTATTCAAGGCAATATCTTCTTTGCGGATTTTTGCTAAACGTCTTCTGAGATTTCCTCTGAGGAGTCTGCGAGGCAACCAAGGCCAAATCAACCATGCTTGACTTAAGCGTTTCTAGTTTTGATACAAAAATAGTCAATGAATGTCCAGATGACAAATTTAAACCCTCTGAAACATGGGACACATCGGTCAGCAGACTTACCAAATGATATTTTGGAAGCTCATTAAATCCAAGTTTATTCTCCTCTGAAAATGAGTCTGAAGATTTCAAAAGTTCTTCATTTGTTGGGTGCTCTTTGTTAATAGTCTGTTGAAAAATAATTGATGTTATTTAAAACAAATTATGGCTCTTTGACTCCCAGACTAAAATGATTACTGTCTATCAAATAGCTATGACACAAAATTTGCAAACTATTTAGATTATAGCCTGTAAAGCAATAAAGGTTCCTAAGAAAAGCAGTGCTGTATTAATATGCCTTTCTTTGCTAGGAATGGCAGTGTATTTACCTTCAAGGAAACATCTAGAAGGTTCTCAGAATTGCTACCTTTGCCTTTCTCAAGGAGAGCATACCTCCCTAACTCCCTTACCAAAGGAAGATAGTGCCTGTTTCTTTTTGTTGTATCAAGTTTGCGAAATGTTTCTTCTTGAACTGGTAACCAGTAATGACGTGATAGTAGGTGTTTGGGAAACATGAACCTGAAAAAGTTCAAAATTAATGTTTTGATAGGCAAGAATGAAGTGTGACCTGCTTAAATAACCTAATGTACAATATGTACAATGTCATTATTTTTAATCAATCATACTCACGCAATAAGAGGAGCAGCATAACCAACAAATGGAATACAAAACACAAACAGTGCTGGGAGGGTTTTAACCAAATCACGCTGAACCTATGGATACAAATTCATAACATCATGAGTGATGAAGAATGAAACTTAATGCTCAAACTTCTAAACTGTGAAAATATCATATAATAATAGAAAAAAAAAAATATAAAACAATTATACATAGATAATTAACAATACTGATATAAAGTATATAAATGAGACAATAATTGACTATCTAAATCATATAGTAAAATAAAAATGAAAAAGTGGACATGTGGCCCCCAAAAAATCAATCTTTTGTATTGCTTACTTGATTCATATGAAGAGTTTCGTCTAAGCTTAAAGCTCCCCAGTCTTTCCCACTAGCCTTAAGCTTTTTTCGTATAGCTACCAATCGTTTAACATCTGATCCTAAATCTTTACTTCCAGTCATAAACTGTTTCAATATTTTTTTGAAATGATGCAACCTTCCTTCGCTTCTGCCATTGCCATTTCGTCTAACCGATTTTGAAGTAGAACTTCTATGGACTTCACTTATTTGGTAACTTAAATATACAGATGACCTTAGAAATGTATTTGTATTACTTCTTAAAACTGCATCCAAGAAAGAAGACGACGAGAAAGCAGAAAGTCTTGAAAATCGTGATATCTTGGCCGCCATTTTGGATGTTTTGGATTTAATTTCCCGACCGGTCACGATTGGCTGCCGAGGGTAACCGAAGACAGCAGCTTGGAACGCCTGTTGGAAATGACATTTTAAGTTATTCTTCTTCGGACCTGCAGGAGTCATATGGAGACTGTATTCAAATGCATTCTGTGTTTTGCTGTTCAGCTGTTAGCTTTGTATGCTTATTGGCACTGTTTCTTTGGCCACAATGAATTTTTCCTCCATGACAACGACAATCCAACTCCACGAACCAGTTTGACTGCTTTGCACATAACCTGTCCATCCGAAAAAGTTGCAAAAGCCTTAAGCTATGGGCTTGTCGAAAAAAGATTTGCTGCATGCGTAAATATTGTTCCTAAAGTGACGTCGATATACTCTTGGAATGGCACAATTGAAGAAGAAACAGAAGTGCTAATCATTGTTAAGACAAAGCATAAATTTGTTCCACAGATTATCCAATTTGTGAAGAAAGGCCACCCTTACGATACGCCAGAGGTCATCAGCTTTGGTATTCTCGATGGAAACGAAGATTACTTAAATTGGGTCGCACGTTATGTGGAAAATGCTATATAACTTATTTAGAACAAGTTCATCTAAAAATGATGATTTTCGCTTTTTTATTTATTATTTGACAATGACTATAAAACGCTCCCTAAAGACAAACATATAAAGAGCTTAATTTCGTTATAATTATTTTATTCATTAGAGTTGTAAGCTGCAAAGATATTAATATTGAAATATTAACAAGCCTACAAGTATAGTTTATCATCTTAAGGATAGTTATTATCTTTAATTACTATGTGGTTGAATTTTGTGGTCAAAATTATGTGTCATAAACATAAAATCACTTTTAATTGCATTCCAGACACAATAGGGGAATACTTGAATCTTAAATAATTTATTTTGTTTAAAAAGGCACTGCAGGGCATATTATTTAATTGAGATTTAATTAAGCATGTTTTTGTTATTGTGTTGTTATGAAGGTCACTCTAGTATTCTAAAAGGACACAAAGTCCCTTGCATTGARCACTCTTTGCTGTGATGTGCTTAGCCAATAATAAGAGAATTTCTTTTTATCAGATGGACTATACCTAGTGTTATAAATAATGGACTTTTGTCTTATCTCATAATCTCATCTTATTTATATTTCACAACTCATTTATGTTACAATTGGTCCACTATATGATTATCACTAGGTTATTTTGCACATTGACAGTTTTTTTTTAAGAAAGCAAAACATTGGAGCAAAATATGGGAATAAATGTATGAATGGGATAAAAAGACAGCGAAATGAGACTTATTAAATTGAATAACCTTCCATATATCGGAAAATTAAAAAAAAATGCTCTAAAAATGTCGTAGCAACCAAAGTCCAGATGTTTAAATGAAATTAATTGTTGACGATTATTTCAGCTTTACTGTTTAATATTGGGCCTCCTGTGTATTCGTACCAGTTTCTCTCGGTTGAAACATTTCAAGATGGCGGACGTCCAGAGCTTTCCATGTTAATCCGAAAACGCGTTAAAATCCTCATGATAGGATGCTGAAATTAGGACAGAGTAGGCTAACCTGTTTAGCAATTTCAAATTCTAGAAACTCCTTGATGAATGGCTTAAATATCTTTAGATGTATCACAGGAAATTCTAGTAATGATGTAGAGCCAAACCCATCAGAGAAACGTGACAGAGGCCCTCCTGGCAAAATACTACACAGAGTGTCTAAAACCTTAGCTGATGTCCCTGTTAAAGTGCAAAATAAGAGTTCAAATCTAGCTAAAGCATCTCTTCAAAAGATATCAGGATCTGTTAGTGCCTTTGATGATTTATTGGGTATTTCCGCTGTCAGAGAAGCCCAAATGAAAGTTCGCGAAGCTGAARACTTGTTCATGAATTTCAGGAAAGTTGTGCAAGAAGCAGAAAAAGACCTTGAACGTGTACGCACGCAGTTGAATGATGTGCGCAAGAGGCTTGACCGCGTATCTAGGGACGATGAGCGATACTTGTCCTTAGCTACTGAAGAGCACACTATACTTTTGGAAGAGAAAAGGCTGAGGGCTGCCCTCAAAGACTGTGAGAATAAAGAAAGAGATCAGTTTGCAGTGCTGTCTGGGATAGTTCGTGAGTCCCACGAGAAAGAGAGAGAACGTGTGGAAAGGACAAAGCATTGGTCAGTGGTTGGATCAATTGTTGGAGCTGCTATTGGTATGGTTTATTTGTAGCTGCTAATATGTTAGTTGTGTAGAGGGGAGGGGTGGTTGGGTTTGGCTATGCACAAGATGCCCATTTGCCACATTCCATTTCTAGCCAGATGTCAAGGAAATCTAATATCAGAGATACTTCTCCTGTGAACATCTGTTCCTATCCCACCCCCACATGGGGAAAAATTGGAGAGAGGTGGGAATTGATATTCATAGACTATGGTTTATGCTATGTGTTATTTCCTTTGTTTATAGTATTGCATCTAAGACTCCTCCATTTTTTTCCAGGTGTAATTAGCTCTTCAGTGATTAATTATATAAGACTAAAGGAAGTCAAAAGCTCTGTCAAAGGGACTGGAGAAGAACTCATGGAAAGATCCTCTGAAATACTAAATGTTGTCTCATCTCAAGACTCTAAATTAGCTGCTAATAGCACTGAAATCAAAGAAGCCTTAGAAGCACATCGTCAAGAAGTTAATGATAAACTCAGTGATGTGCGAGACTCCATAGATACTTATACTTTAAGTGCATCTATAAGTTCTGATGCTGGTACCGTTGAAGCTGGAATCAGTCTGAAATCGCTAACTGCACAACTTAGAGAACTTGTGCAACTTCAACTTGCACGTGAACGGGAGAAGGTAGAAGGAGCTGAGCCATCAAACATCCCAAACTTTATTCAGAATCAGATAAATAATCTCAAAGAGGAAAATAGAAATCATTTTGCAGAGCTGYTTGTTGGTCTTAAAAGTTTAGATACAAAGATGGGACTTGGGAAGAATAAAGCCATTGAGGAATCAAATGAAACATCTTTTCATCATTCAGACCAARTAACTGAGAAATACATCACAGACTTACAGCAAGCTCAAAATTGGTCAAAGGCGCAAGTTATTACATCAGTAGCCAGTATTACTGCAACCTTGATTCTAATTGTTTACGATTTTATGAAGTGAAGAACACAGATCAACTTGTTGCAAAAAAACTTTCGTCTGGAACTCCGGATTTAGAGTATGGTAATGAAAAGAGTGTTGTCTGTGATAGTGGTAGTAATGTTAGGGTTTTCCAATGATTGTGGAAGTGCTTTTTAAAGAACAATCTGCATGTAATTCAAAATGATTTTAATCAATATTTAGACAGTCGATTTTCGAATTGGACAATGCCAGTATGGATACGGCAGTAATTTTCCAAAGTCTTTGAAAATGTATTGATAATGATAGACTTCGGACTCTTTTATTCTAATTCCTCATTAAAAAAGCAGAAAAAGTACAGAGAATGATTGAAGGATGATTGTAGATGGCATTTATCAAACAATTTAACCAGGCCTGATGAGAATGCCTTGTCCACGCGAAGCCGGAAAGTTTTACTTCCGCAGCTCTATCAATAATTCCTCAACTCTGTTATTTGTGTGATAACCACTTGCATTTGTATACACCTATTTCAAAAAATGTTGTCGTCGCCAGGACACAGTCCACGGTCTTGAGCCTGCAAAGAATCTCGGGATTGCCATAAAAAATTATATATTCAATTTTCAAATGGTGGGAACTAGCGGTAAACTAGTGTGGGCTGCGTCGGCGTTTCTAAAGAAACAGTTGTGTAAAAAGATAAATTTAACACCGTAAAAATATATATTCAATTTTAGTTATTTAAAATACTCCGATTTAGAGTTCTGGTTAATCTGTGTTAGCCTCAAAACCAAGCAACTTATTCTTTTGTTTCATTGACAGCCCGAGAATGAAACGCATGGAATTTGAAAAGAGAGACGATAGAATTGATATGAAATCTCACACTTTTATTCAGCACAATTAAGAATATTTTGCGCATAAATGAGGCTGTCACAGAGCATTAGAGAATTGGAAACTGGATTATTCTCTGTCTCGTAGCAAATATAGCTTTGAAACTCATTGACGGTTTGAAAGCGTGAAATATTTTTCAAGGAAAATGTCTCGTGGCGAGACATGCCCACAATAGTATATGAATTCGTTTGGACGCAAGAATTTTTATGGCAAATACAAGTAACCAGGGTAGCGTGGACAAGACTTAAGCTTATAAGTGAGTCGGAAAAAAACTATCAGCAGGGAATTCATAATAGAATTACGAAGTGTGCATATCGTTAAGACCCTTTCCTCACTGATGCGTTTTTGTTTCAACTTTGTATTCGTCTTCTTCTTCTTCCTTAAGGAATTAAAACCAATTAAAAAAACTACGAAAGTACATCAAAGTGAGAGTTTTATTCCCCTGTTATTCCGAACGGCACAAAAACTACGCATCAGTGTGCATATTGACAAAACAAAAAAAGCCATCKAAACCAAGCTGGTTCATTCTATACAAACTTTTTTTGAAATCCTGAGGGCAACCTAAGGCACACGTGTTTTATCCACATGGGAATAACAAAATCGTCATTACTTCAAACTCATCAAGTGGATGGAACGTAACATGTGCTTCACTGAYGATACACACTATTGAAAGACGGTTGAACATGTTTGCCTCACTTTCCAGGTTTAGAAGGTTCTTGAGGTCTCAACAACTTGTTAAGTGGTCGTTTTCGCTTAGTCCACGCAGTCTCGCAAATGTCGCATCGTCTCAAAGCGAACGAAAGACTGTTATTGACACGAAGCTCGATAACCACTCGTTATCTATTCAGTGGGAGGACGGTAATGCACGATTTCACTACCTGTGGCTCCGCCATCATTGCCAATGCAACAGCTGTGTGAACCCAAAGACCAAGCAACGAACCGTAGATTTGACACTTATTCCAAAGCAAATGAATCCTCACGATGTCCATGTTGATTCTAAGTTGTTGAAGATCATTTGGATGGATGGACACCAGACCATCTTTGATGTTTCTTGGTTGAAAGAAAATGCATACGATGGCGGAGGTCTTCTTTGCGAAAACCAACCAGAAACGAGATTTGGTAGCATTTCTCATGAATCAGACATGACATTATGGGACCGAGATGCAATTGCTGGAAAACCTCCAAAAGAATTCCTTTATCGTGATATCATTGCAAATAATAAGGAAGTTTTGCAAGAGTCATTGAATGACCTTTTTCGCTTTGGCTTCATATTTGTGAACGACACACCTACAGATGAAGAATCAACATTGAAGATTTGTCAAAGGATTGTGGGTCCTATTCGAGAAACACCTGAAGGCAGAGTGTATGTAATAGAAAACAAGGCGTTAAAAGACTCAGACCTCTCTCACTTCTCCAATGCTTTACAAGGTCATACTGATTTCAGCTTCTATAACGACCCCCCTGGAGTACAAGCTATGCACTGTCTCCACCATTACGGAACAGGAGGGATGAGCTTGCTGGTTGACGGGTTCAAGGCAGCTAAAACTCTCTACCAAGAAAATCCTGCGGCGTTTCAAATCTTATCAAGTTTTCCCTTGCGTTTTCTGAGCAGTCATTTCTTCATGCAATCCCAAGGTACAATTCTGGAGCTCGACCCTTTTACAAGAGCCCTCACAAGGGTTCGTTGGAACACTTCACGGTTTGGTCCACTTACAAAGTTGAACCTGAGTTTTGAAGAGATGGAAAAGTTGTACCAAGCAATACGATTGTATGGCTCCATTGTTCGCAGAGAGGAAAACGAACTCTGGTTCAAGCTTACACCTGGAAAGGTTCTCTTAGTTGATAATCGGCGGGTTTTACATGGAAGATCAGCCGTTCAAGGGCCAAGGAAGCTCATAGGATACTATGTGAGCATGGATGACTACATCGGGAAATGGAAGGAAAATAGAATGAAAACATAAAATGTAATGACTTATAAATCAAGAATTGTAGTTTAACGTGAGAAGTGAATATAATAAAGTTCATTATTGAGAAACGTTCAGATTTTTTGGGGGTGGGTCGCTATCATCTTGTTTCGGCAAATCCGATTGATACGGGCGGAAATTTCACACGAACTGAATCAAAAGGCAAATCTTCGACGATGAACAGACAAAAAATGACCATAGAGTAATTTTTATGTGACTGTTTCGGCATTTGATACATAAATCAAAGATAATTTAGGCGACCAGTATTCAATGGGGACTGGCCGGCTAATCTTGATCCACGACCCCAGTTGAACAGTCCGAGTAAAAGTAAACGTAAAAACAGATGTTTATAAATGCACCCAGTGGAGATAAATCGGTAATCGAGGAAATAAAGAAAGTAATAAAAAGAAGAGAAAATAGGCTAAAATTAAAAGAAGATAGAAAGAGAGAAAAAATAAAGAAGTTTTTAGCGGAACAGCTTGATCCACGCACCTGGAAAACCAATCCACGAGTTGACAAGTCTTCACATCCGGGGATTTATGCAAATTTTTTCCCGCCAAAATTTCTCACATGATCCAAACTAGTTTCATCGAAGAAGAAGAAACATAACTAAAAGCACCGGAATGGATGTAGCAGATCGTACTACTGGAAGCACAAACGTTCGAGATGAGCTTTCTGAGCGATGTCAAAAGCTTTTCCAAGACTTCTTAGAGGAGTAAGTGTTTATAGCTAGTTTATCTTGCATATAAATCGTCGTGCAAATCGAGACACACGAACGACGAACACATGGCTTCCTTGGTCAACAAATCTGCTAAATGCTCATGAAGTAACAGTTGTCAATATATTTTGGCAATACTCATTTTGCCATAAGTCTCGCAATCCTTATCATAGTCACAATAGAGTTCTAAGCGATTGCGAGCGAGTTCATGACTTAACTTATATCAACTTGTACACGATTGTACGAATCTTGACAACTGACTGCCATTTTTTCGTTCAGGTTTAAAGTCGATGGTGAAGTTAAATACCTCGCTGATGCTCAAGAACTAATACGACCAGAAAGAAACACACTTGTGGTCAGTTATAGTGACTTGGAAACGTTTAACGCACAGCTATCGACCATTATTCAAGAGGAATATTACAGGTATGGGTCATAATAGCTGTATATGTACACCTTGTTACCCTTATAAAACGACCTTCTCATATGGAATAATATCTATCAAAACATTTTATAATCTTACTTATAAGTAAGTTATATTTATGACTTATTATTGTAAAAGAAAGCTATTTACAACTTCAATGATGTATTAAAAAACAAAAAATATTGGACACATTTGGATATATATTTTTATCAATTATTACAAGATACATTAATTGACTGATACTCAATTATATAAATGATATTGTATATGTGATAAATTATTTTTGGATGAAGTTTCTGTGATGTACAAAATAATCAAGGTTGCAGGAGTACATATTTATCAGCTGAGGTATGATGCTGATCACGCATACAGAATTACTTGATTGCAAAAAGTGTTGACATAAATTAGTGATCAGATGTTGAGGAAAGGAAAGCCTTTGTTTGGTATACACCATTAGCATCTTTTGAAAACCAAGAACTCATTCAAAAGAAAGGTAGTAAGAACTATTGATAATGATGAATGTTTTATTTTATTTATTGTAGAGTTTTTCCATACTTATGCCGTGCTGTAAGGAATTTTGCCAGGGACAGAGGACAAGTTCCTCCAAATAAGGAATTTTATGTCAGCTTTATAGACTTACCTACCAGACACAAGTAAGTACTGTCATGTGAGTTATTTTTAAGTTTATTTTGAATCAGCGCCAGTAAATGAGTCAATGCGCAAGGATAAACAGCCTTTAATAGTAGTGAACGAGTAAAAAGGCAAAAAGATGGCTGACCGACAAATACAAAACAACCAGGCCTTCCATGCGTGCGTATGGTCATGATGATAATTGTCCACAGACCTATTATTCTGCTGGTGCAGAAGTCACTAGCGGAGAATGCAAAACCCTATTTTCAAAAATGGATACAAAAAAGCAACAATGAGTTATTTTTTATCCTGTGTTTTCAGTTTGTTATGGAAATTGTCGAAACTTTCATCAATTCAAGATATTGGACAAATAACTTATTTCTCGAAGTGTTGACTCAATTTTCGTGAGGTCATAAGATGTTTGTAGCAGGCCTGTAATTACTTGATCAAGCTTCACATTCGCAACATAACTTGGCCAGATTAATATTGATTAACAAAATATAATCTATCAATTCTTATTTATCTCCTAATTGTATATATTTGACAGAATCCGTGAATTAACCAGTCAAAGGATTGGAACTCTTTTAAGAATAAGTGGACAAGTTGTTCGTACACATCCAGTCCATCCAGAATTGATTACTGGAACGTTTGTTTGCCTTGATTGTCAAACAGTAATTAAAGATGTTGAGCAGCAATTCAAATATACACAGGTTAGTATCCATATAAGGTACTTGCAGGGTACTAATGCACTAATTTGGTAATTGCTATAATGTTTACAGCCTACAGTTTGTCGAAACCCTATTTGCCAAAACAGAGCAAGATTTATGCTTGACATTGATAAATCAAGATATGTAGACTTTCAAAAAGTCCGGATTCAAGAAACTCAAGCTGAACTCCCAAAAGGCTGCATTCCAAGAAGGTGAGATATAACTAAGGAAAAAAAGCTAAACCAAAAAGAAAAAGACACAGCAAACAAACAAATTAACTTGCATACCAAAGCTTGATTTCTGGTCAGATAAAACTTTTACAGCAAAATACTTTTAGTTTTACTCAATCTAGGATTGTTGTACTGTCATTTAGAAAATGTTGTAAAAACATAACTCAGTTTCTAATTTCATATGTTATAGTGTGGAGATAATCCTTCGAGCTGAAGCAGTAGAGCAAGCACAAGCTGGTGACAAGTGTGACTTTACAGGAACATTAATAGTAGTTCCTGACGTTGGACAACTGACAACACCAGGTAAACATTTACAGATCTCTGAGTTTTAAAAAGGATGTTGATAGTAAAACATTTTTGAATGTTAGGTGCAAGGGCTGAGTCATCTGAACGTCAAAGGTCAGGAGACGGTTATCAGGCAGAAGGAGTCAGGTACAAAGCTTTTCAAAGTTATTGGACAACTTCACTCATATGGCACAAAGTTAATAAGATTGTTGTAGCAATTTGATATCTTGTTTTGAGAATGGATGAGTAGCCAAAACACCAAAATAATGTCATTCAGTGCTTGAGTGTATGTAGTATACAAAGTTAGGGACAAGTTGCACCTTAATAATTGTTTTTGTTTTTTTTTTCCTTTCAAGGGGTCTCAAGGCTCTTGGTGTTAGAGATTTGACCTACAGAATGGCTTTCCTTGCCTGTAGCGTTCAGTCCACCAATCCTAGGGTAAGTAGTTATGTGCACTTTGATGTTGAATATAATCTTAAGAAATCTTATGTCATTTGAAATTTAGTTTGGAGGAAAAGACTTGGATGATGAGGACATGACAGCAGAATCAATCAAAAAACAAATGACTGAACAAGAATGGCACAAAGTTTATGAAATGAGTCAGGATAAGAATTTATACCAGAATATATTGAACAGTATTTTCCCGACGATCCACGGTAAGTGTATGGCCAGGAATAAAGAAGAGATTCAAATTATACCCCCTCATTTTTCCCTCACACATCTAGCACATATTAGTGCACACTAAGCACAGCTCAACAGGGATATAGGGATAGTTGACAACAAGCAATGATAGCATGAAGAAAGTGACTATTTTATACTTCAGTATCAGTTCTAAATTTCATTTTGAATTGCCAGGTAATGACGAGGTTAAACGTGGAGTACTTCTTATGCTGTTTGGTGGTGTCCCAAAGAAAACAACAGAAAAGACAAGTCTTCGAGGTGACATTAATATTTGTGTGGTTGGTGACCCAAGCACAGCTAAGAGTCAATTCCTAAAGTAAGTTTAGATTCTTGGAGATATTGATTCTGAGATATAATCAGTCTTTGTTGGATTTTTGTTTGTTAAAAAAGTGTTTTTTCATTTCAGACATGTTGAGGAATTTAGCTCAAGGGCTGTTTACACATCTGGGAAAGCATCCAGTGCAGCAGGTTTAACAGCTGCTGTTGTGAGAGATGAAGAATCCAATGAATTTGTCATTGAAGCTGGAGCTCTTATGCTTGCAGATAATGTAAGGAAAATATGGATAAAAATGACCTATGGTGTAAAGTTTTAGAGACATTGATTTTCAATACTTGATTTCTACAGGGAGTTTGCTGTATTGATGAATTTGACAAGATGGACCCTAGAGACCAAGTAGCTATTCATGAGGCCATGGAACAGCAAACTATTTCACTTACCAAAGCCGGAGTTAAGGTATTTATAGCAACATTCTCTCATAATACWGGAAATAACACTTAGTTGTCAAATAACACTTTTTTGTTATACCAAAGGCATCTTTAAATGCAAGGACATCTGTGCTTGCTGCTGCAAATCCAATTGGTGGAAGATATGACAGAAGCAAGTCTTTACAGGTACTCTGATCCAATCACCTTAGTGAGAAATATTATTATTCTTACACTAATATTGGTTTCCATATTGATTTCTTTCAGCAAAATGTCAATATGTCAGCTCCAATCATGTCACGATTTGACCTGTTTTTCATCTTGGTGGATGAAAGCAATGAGGTGAGTTTTGCTTTCCTTCCCATCTCGTAAATCTCTTATCAGTATTACTGTGGTGCTTTTATGATCAAGCAGTCTTTCCTTGAACATCATTGAATATGTTTTGATACATGGTCTCTCTTACGTCTTCAAGCACCTTTCCAGCATGGYTTCTTTCTGTCAAGATGATATGATTTTAGCAGATAATTATTGTGTGTGTTTGATTGATGATTATTGTTTCAGGTGACAGACTATGCAATTGCCAGAAGAATAGTTGATCTTCATAGAAGAAGAGAGGAGTCTGTTGAAAGAGTGTATTCTGTGGTAATACATTTTGACTACCATACCCTGATTGAATGCCTATTGCTTAGGGGGTTTCATTTATTAGCTCTTGGGGTGGTCTGGCAAAATTTTATATATCACCCCMCAACAACAATTTCCAAAATCATCAAATCCCTCCCCCCTCCTCCCAAACATAAGCTAATAAATGAAAGCCCCCTTAATGCATTTGACTTGATTAGCGCCGCCCTCTGACTCATTACTTTTAGTAAAATGTTTTTTTGTCTTCAGGATGAAGTCCAAAGATACATAACTTTTGCAAGGCAGTTCAAACCTACTGTAAGTAATGTTTGAAAACAAACAAATGAATTCTTAGGGAAGTCACCTTTTTCTGTTTAATCCACTAACAGATTACAAAGGAGGCCCAAGATTTTATGGTTGAACAGTACAAACATCTAAGAGAAAGAGATAGTAGTAGTAAGTGATGATCTAAAACTGTTCTTTTTTAGCTGTTTACAGTTGAATGTATCTGTATACTTTTGTCTCACCATCAATCCAATGAGCGTTTTCATCCCAGACAAGATGATTGGATAATAAGCAAGACAAAAGAATGCAAATGCATTAACGTTGATCACACTTTAAAGCATTCCACTGTAAACATTGTCTTGCAATGCAAATTTATGACATGTAGTTGATTTGTGGCAATAATACTCCAGTTTCGAGTTCTGGTTTGCTCTGTGTTAGCCTCAAAACCAAGTAACATTAATTCTTTTGTTTCATTGATAGCCCGAAAACACGCATGGAATTCGAAAAGAAAGACAATATAATTGAATTGAAATCTCACACGTTTATTCTCACAATTGAAGGGGCGGATGCGAAAACGGCCTAAGTGACGATTTAGGGTATTTTTGAAATTTTCGAAAAATTGACAAAAAATCGCTTCAATCATTTGTTTCTGGTCTAAATAATCATGTTTGCTAGTTATTTCTCGTGATTTCCTTTTAAAAAGCGGAAAAAAAGTCGACATTTAGTTACAGACTGTACCCTCCCCTCCCCCAAACTTTAGCATAGGGTTAGTTCCAGCCTTATGCAAGAGTTAGGGTTCCTAAAGCCTACGACAGGGGCTAGGGTTCCTTGATTTAGCGTTAGGGTTAGAATGGTTAGGGTTTAGGGTAGGGTAGGGTTAACGTTAGCTAAGCGTTAGGCTCTAAAACCTGAGTTTGTAAAGCAAACAAACTCCCCCCCCCCCCCCCCCCCCC